ATAGCCATGTCCAACCATAAAGTGTCGAACCTCTTGTACCACTGCCTTGGAGATTGCTTCAACCCATATAAGGATTTTTTCAACAAACAAACATGGTCTTCCTTTCCCTGAACAACAAACCCCTCTGGCTGATGCATATAAATTTCTTCTTCAAGCTCACCATGTAAAAAAGCTAGTTTGACATCAAGTTGCTCAAGCTCCAAGTAAAATAAAGCAACCATGGCAAGCAACACGCGGATAGAGGTGTGTTTCATAACTGGTGAGAATACTTCATTGAAATCCATACCTTCTCTCTGACTATAATCCTTTGCCACCAAACGTGCTTTGTGCCTTGCATCTTCAACACCTGGAGTTCCTTCCTTTTTCTTGAAGACCCATTTGCAACCAATAATCTTCTGGCGTTTAGGAGGTTTCATTCTTATGAAGAGATTCAATCTCCTCAGTCATAGCAACAATCCACTTGGCAGATTCATTTCCTGTAACAGCTTCTTGGTAGGTGGAAGGCTCCTTATCTTCAATATTTTCTGCCACAGACAAAGCATAAGCAACTAAATCTGCATAAGCATACCTCTTAGGAGGTTTAATCTGCCTTTTTTGTCTCCCTGTAGCAATATTGTACTGTTGTTCCTCTGGTATTTGCTCATCCTGCACCTCGTCAACATCGAGCTGAACTGGAGTGCTGTCTTGTTTCTCTGGAGCTTCAAAGTCATGCTCCACCTGCTGCTTAACACCCTGAGATTCATCTGTAACAAAAGACTCCTTTCTCAGGTGAAGTAAAGCAAACTCATCAAAAGTAACATCTCTGCTGGTAATAAACTTAGGTGACTTGGGATCAGGACACCACAACCTGTATCTCTTTACCCCGGATGCATAGCCAATAAAAGTACATTTCTTGGCTCTAGGCTCAAGTTTTCCTTCATTAACATGAGCATAAGCAGGACATCTAAAAATTCTTAAATTAAAATAATCAGCAGGAGTACCAGACTATACCTCTTCAGGTGTTTTGCACTCAATAGCAGTTGATGGTGACCTGTTCACCAGATAGCAAACTGTGTTGACTGCTTCAGCTCAAAATCCCTTAGACAACCCAGCATTGAAAAGCATACAACGAGCTCTTTCTAAGAGAGTTCTATTCATGCGTTCTGCTACACCATTCTGTTGTGGAGTCTTTCGAACTGTATGGTGTCTGACAATGCCTTTATTACTGCAGAACTTGTCAAACTCTCCTGAGCAAAATTCTAAACCGTTATCTGTTCTGAGACGCTTGATCTTCTTTCCAGTCTGCTTTTCAACCATGGCCTTCCACTGCTTAAACTTAAGGAAAACTTCATGTTTTTGCTTCAAGATATAGATCCAGACTTTCCTGGAGAAGTCATCAATGAAAGTCAACATATATCGAGAACCACCAAGAGAGGGAACTCTGGAAGGACCCTAAAGATCTGAATGAATGTAATCAACAGTGCCTTTGGTCCTGTGAACACCTGTACTGAACTTGAGTCTTTTCTGCTTGTCAAAGACATAATGCTCGCAAAAGTCCAGCTTTCCCGTCTTATGTCTACCTAGCAAACCTCGTTTGCTCAATTCTGTCAATCCCCTCTCACTCATATGCCCTAAACGCATATGCCATAGATGGGTAGTTACTGAATCTTGATCAACTGAAGAAGATACTGAAACAACGCCTGTCACAGTACTGCCCAGCAAAAAATAGAGGCCTTTTCTCTGTTTTCCTTTTAGCATAGTAAGAGCACCTTTAGAAACTCTTAAAACTCCACCTTCAGCTGAAAACTTGTAACCATTAGAGTCAAGAGTACCAAGAGAAATTAAATTCTTTTTCAAATCTAGAACATGCCGAACATCAGTTAAAGTTCTAACAATACCATCATGCATCTTAATTTGGATTGTGCCTATGCCAACAGTCTTACAGGGATTGTTATTCCCCATTAAGACAGTACCACCATCAATAGAACGGTAAGTTGAAAACCAGTCCCTATTGGGACACATATGATAGGAACAACCAGAATCAAGAACCCATTCACTACTGGAGTGACAATCATTGACAGAAACTGAAAGAACATTTTCGACATCCGAGGAACTTTCCTCAGCAACCCCAGTAATATCAGAAGAATTACTAGTGGATTTATCCTTAGACTCCTTTTTATCCTTTTTATATTTCTTCTTATTTTTCAATTTTGGATAATTCACTTAATGTGCCCTTTTTGGTGACAATAATAACATTCAGTGTCTTTATGAGACCTAGATTTAGATCTCGATTTGCCCCTACTACCATAGCCCTTTTTTCTCACTTCTTCCCCTCACAATCAGACCCTCGGCCTATTCATCTCCATTATTTCCAGACACCTTTTTTTCTCAATTCTTGAGAGTTTAATGAGGATTTAACATCCTCCATACTAATGGTGTCTTTTCCATAGAGTAATGTAGTAACAAAATGCTCATAGGAAGGAGACAAAGAACACAACAAAATAAGGGTTTGATCTTCTTCATCAATTTTAATATCAGTATTTTTCAAATCCATAATAATAAAATTGAAATTATCAACATGTTCCTTAAGAGGCATACTTTCCTTCAGACGAAGGGTGTAAAGTCTCTGTTTCAGGTAAAGTCTATTGGTGAGAGACTTCGTCATGTACAGACTCTCCAATTTAAGCCACAACTTTGCCGCCGTGTCTTCATCAATAACTTCATGCAGCACCTCATCGGCAAGATTCAGGAGAATCGCACTGCGCGCTTTTTCATCTACCCATCCTTGTCTTCATTGGATATAGTTTTCGGCAACTTGTCTTTCCCGAACAACACCTTCTTTAGACCTTGTTAAGTCAACAGGGCCTACATCTTGATGCGCCAAAGACTGAAACTAATCTTGCCATCAAATTTCTCAATTTCATATCTGGTCGACATCTCAAAAAAAACTCCCCCAAAAATTCCTCGGTGAATTAGTACCGTATTTGTGAACAGTACCCGAAAAAATATCTGTGAACAGTATCTGTACACAATACACGAACCGAGCTCTGATACCAGTTTGTTATGAAAAATAAGGATCGAGTAGGAGTTTATGAGAACAAAAGAAAAATAAATGACAAGAAAATAAATAAAACGCATACACAAACGAGACAAGAATTTACGTGGTTCGGCTGTGCTTACATCCACGAGGAGAAGATAGAACAATATTTCACTATGGAAATAAAGAGATACAATGCTTAAGTGGCTCACACCCAAAACCCAATTACACCCTGAACTCTCTCACACTCTGCTTTGCTTTCATAGAGCAAATGAACACTCAATTTTTGGGATGCTTGAACCATGGAGTAGCCAGGCTATTTGTAGCCAAAAGTTCACACTATTTGTGAACTTGGAGACCACGAAAAAGTCTTAATCAGCAAGTACATGGCCGGACTGCTTGGAGACCACGCACAGCTTCCTCAACAATCTACTTGGCTGCCAAGCATTGCTGATGACATGAGTGATGTATGCTAATGATGTAATGGGTAAGGTAATGCATGATGAGGTGGCGGAAATTAAGCTATAAAATCAACAAAAAGAGAAAAGATACGAGTATACTTGGGGCATTTCCCCAAGTCCCGATCAAGAAAACCAGGCCCATCGAGCTAAGGGCAAACCAAACAATCAAAAGAGCAAAACTGAGAACAAAAGATGTCAAAATGGTCCACACTTGCAGTACTCAATTCAAACCATAGACCTAGGTGGGCACATCCACAAATCTGAGAACATGGCTGTCACTGGAGTAGAGGCGTGAGATAGATGCTCTTGAGGAGGGGGTTCCCTAATTTGACACTCGAAAGAGTATTAAAGCCAACACTCTTCTTGAATTGTTCGTGATTTATCCAGGGCTGGTGTTCGGATATCGTCAATGTCCTCGTAATTTATCTTTTAGGGGTGGGTCCAAAGGGCCCTGCTTTAGCAGTGTTCCACATTTATCAAAAAAAGAAAAAAAAAATACTCCTTTTTTATTTTTATTTATTTATTTATTTTTGTACAGAGAAGAAAAACGTAAGGCAATTTGGTTTAGTATCTTACGATTTTTTTAATTATCTTATTTATTGTTAATTTATGATTATGATTATTATTATTTTGGTTCTGGTCCTTGTTGTGCCTAAATTTTGAATCATTCCATGTCAAGTGATAAATTTTGTGAAATATTAAAAAATCGAAAGAAGTGAATTAAAATGAGGTTTTATTAAAAACAATGGTGATTTTAGTGAGTTATTGAAAACACATGAAGCTAACGTGGGCTATCCTTACAAAGTCAAAATTTTAAACAGTCAGTGCCTTGCATTTCTAGTTAAACATGAATTTGGTTGCGGTAGTTTTCTTGTCCTTTCTTGGGACTTGATATGGTGAGAAATAATACTCTTCATTTCACCATCTATTGTGATAGTCTCTCTGTTTCAAAGTAAGTGTTATGTTTTTTTTTTTTTTGTCTATTCTAAAACAATTGTTCACTTTTTTTTTTTCAATAATATATTTCACATCTTTTCATATATGTACTTTAAATTTTAAATTTTAAACTTAAATATTCAAAATTTAAAAAGGTAATATAGTAATTTTTTAGAGAGACAATGTATGTCTCACATGTCTCCTTAAAAATTATTATTCTCCCGAACTGATACTTAAATCAGGACAGATGGAGTGTAATAATTTGTATAAGTAAGAAATCTAAATCGGGGAGATGCAAAAATAAAATAAAATACAATAATTCAGAGTGGCACGACTTAAGGGTATGATGAAAAAACCATGAATTCACCTTATATTTCATCAACTTATTAACACCCACGTCTACAGTCCTCCACCACCAACTTGGATTGCTTGTGTGGGACATACATGTGGTCATGTACAAATTAAGGGGGTTTGATTTACACAAAGGTTGATGGAATATGGAGGGAAGAGATTATTAATTTTTTGTTCGATTACCATGAAAAAGAAAATATGAAACAACATAAAAAATTATTAATTTACACGTCGCGGACAGTAGAATGAGGAAAAATATTAGAAATATCAAGTCAAATAGTCTTAAATCCTTGTCCCAACAATTTTAGAGACAACAAAATGTTAATCATACAAATTAGATGAGATAAAAATAAAACTACTTCCTCTGTCTACTTGATCTAGAAACGAGCAAACCATCATTATTTTTGCCGAAAATGCCCTCACCATAGGTAGATTTAATCATATCTTGAAGGAGAGGAAATTGCCAGGATGCAAACAATATCACCGGTATAGTAGAAAAAACACTTACAGGAGCAAGAATCCATGTTGTCTTCTGTCCAAAAATAAGGTGGATTGTGACTCCAAAGGCTACCATCATAGACACTATGGCGACGAACAGAGTTATGAGACCATAAATTAATCTTTTAGGTAAAGAGTAAAGAAAATCAATCTCCGCGTAACGCGAAGTAAGAATGGACAAAAACATCAACAAAGATGAAGCAGACGAAAAAAGAGCTAGCGCATCTGATATCATAAAGATTATAAAGGCTTTATCTTTGAAAAGAATTGGGAAGCCACTCTTGTCATCGCTTCCACCTGGTACCGTAATGGCAGCTGCAAATACTATGGTAACAACTAGAGCTGCTACAATTGTGCATGAATTAGCAGTGTCTTTTAACCATTTTTCTCCTTCTTTCATTAAGTCCGCGTGCGTCTCAGAAAAGATCACTGTCGGTGTCTTTCTTCCAATTTTATACTTGCCCTCATGCATAAATGAAATATTTTCTACTTCCTGCAATGAATTGAATAGTTTTCAATTAGAAAGCAAATTTGATCAGTTTCAGAAATTGAGAGTTCAAAATATGGGGTTGTGTAGAGAAAATTTTCAATTTATATGTTTTTTCTATACCATCCACTCGTCTAGGGAGCATATAATGGTGCGTTACAGGATTGGGTTGCCCAGGGACTTATACGTGTCAGACCTTTACTTGTGAAAAATAATAATAATAATAATTAGACTCATTTTATACTGAACCTTAGTATTATCCAGCTAGTTGTAATACCTCCAAGGCATAAGATCTATGCAATTTTAAATGTGTCAACCACATTAAATTTCTTTTAATTTTAAAATCAAAACGCTAATTTGATACTCTCACAGAAAATATAAATGCTTACGAAATTAATGTATTATGTGGAATGATATCATGGAAATGGATTTAATTCGTGCTACCTCAAACCAAAGTCATGATGTCAATGATTGTATTAAACCAGCGATGTTGTCCAAAACTAATTTAGATGGGGCGGATAAGAAAAGTAATATAAGAATTTTTTTTTTTTTAAATATTATGAGGAACAAAAGAACTTTAATATTAAATGAAATTTTCATAAACAAATTGTTCATACGGTCATTTTGATTTTTTTTTTTCCTTCATAAATACTTTTCTTTAATTATTATCAAGATAACATATTAAAAGTTGAAAAAATTATAGGAAGACTCATTTGTACTTTTAATTTTTAAATTGAAAAAGAAGTGTGAATTTATATATTTGATACGATTAATTGATCATAGTTTTTTTCTCTCTTTTTTTTTTTCATTTTTATTGTTATTGTTCTTTTGCAGACGAACAATGTTAGAGACAATTTTAGAAAATTTGTGGTGAACCCACATTCAAGAAGTCCGCTATATTAATAAAAGATAATATATTAAAGAATCAATAAACAAGTTTTCGGAGAGATTAAACAAGCAAAGATCTTTAATTTACTCCATTTAAGAGATTTTACAAAAAAAGTTTAAAAAAATAAAAATAAAAATAATGTTTGCAGAGTAATAGGATTTTTAGAAAAAGTTCAGGTATAAAATATAAATAAATCAAATCAAATTTAGTAAGACAGACATGTATTGTAAATGAGAAAATAAAGAAAATTACTATAAAAGGCATATTATTAAAATGAATATATATAAAATATTACCTTAAACCATTGCAATTCAAGTTGCATTTGTAGAGCTGCACCAGCTGCATCAGCTTTGAGTTTGCTACTCTGCTCCTTTTTTAAATATGCAACTAGATCCAGACTAGTGTTACCCGATGAATCAGGCCATGTTAAAAGAGAATTGATAACAGGCTTGTCAGAAAGTTGATAAATACGTTTGAATGCTTTTCTTTGACGGTTCAAAATTGCAATATGCAATAAATTTTGTCCCTCTTCGTTTTTACTATATATTGCTTCAGGAAATATTGAAACAATCTCTTCAATAACTTCAGGAATCCCAGAAATTGTTGCGGCAATTACTGATCTTCCAACTCTATGTCTAGCTTCTGAAAAATCTAATTTTTCATATTCCATGCAAAGATGTCTGACAAGTTGAATTGCGTGATCATGCTTCCATTTTATCCCTCGGACGTGCTTGATGCATGGCACTGTTTTAAGGCGAATAATTTAGCAGGATGCAGGATGTGTTGCAAATAATTTCTAGTAAATATCTTTCAACATAAAAACTTTTTTCGTTCGATCATGTATATGTTCCTTACATAGCATTTCAGCAACTTTCCAAAATACACCCAACAACTTTTGCTTCATTGTACCTGCCAATATATATATATATATATATAAAATAAAAATACTTCATCACACTTTTACAACAAAACTAAACAAGTCGAAATCAAAGAGAAGTTTAATAAGAATAGAAATTAAATGATCCTTGATTTTATTCTTCAAATTTAATATTTTTTTTACTTGATAATATCAATGCAACCACTAAAAGCACCATCCATTAATATTTAGATGTCACATGCAATGAATAAAAATATTATTTATGTTATTATTTTCTATATCAAATAAAATATCATACAAACAACCGTTGTCCAACCTGAGTTAAAAATGATTAGTCCTAAATTTCTTGGCCCAACCTCACTGTGGGCGTACTATTCTAGATCAAGCCCAGCCAATGCAGGCTGTAAAACAAGCCAGAAGCTTCACGGTCTGGCCCACTTCTACGGCATTACGTATAATTGGTTATTGTCTTTTAAAAACTCATACTCCCCTACTGGGGATTCTAAAATAAAGTAAATTTTATTTTAGAGTTTTTAAGGGCACATGGATTCTTTAAAAATTACACATAACTCCCTAATTTAATATTTTATATTGTTAATCTGAAAAAGTTTTGAATTGTTAGATAACATAGCAAAGATAGACATTTTATTGTGGACTAGAGGGGCTAAAAACGCCGTAGAATTGTAGAAGAAGCTAACATGCAAAGGCGGAATTAACATTTCAAGTCTTACCAATAATATCCCATAAAAAATAAAAAATAAAGAAAAAAAAAACAATATATCAAATAGAGATAGAATTATTGGATTTAAACAGACCAGAAATGCAGCAATGGGTAGGATTCTCAACGTCTCCACAACTACAATGGTATGTAGACTCTTCCAACTTCGTAGGAACACCTAGATTAAAAAACAGTAAGCAGTTAATGTCTCTACTACAATGGTATATAGACTCTTTCAACTTCACAAGAATATTTAAAAAAGAAAGAAAGCAATAAGCAGTTAAATATGCTTGTAAACAACTTATATACTTTACATAGAGTCATCCACCCAAAAGAAATTTCTTAAATATATATATATATTTTAAGGAATATATATGCTGATTTACATTCCTAAAAAGATTGATCTTTGCTGAAGAAGAGAGAGAAAGGATAGAATAGACTAACAAAAGTAGATTAATGTTTGCCAAAAGTTGAATTTTGTTCCACTCTTGAATGCTGAATTTTGCATAGCAAGTAGTTGCAACAGAGAGACATGCATGTTTGTTTCCCTTGCAATTAATGCACCATGGCGCTGAAGGAATAGCAGAGCAATGTCTGTTAAAGAGGTAGGAAAGAAAAGGTTAACTACAAATGTGGATTTCTATTTCTATTTACTATTGAAATAAAAATACTACTCACCGTATAGACCACTATTTATCAAATAAGCAACAAAAGTAGTTAACCATTTGTTGTCTTCTTGATAACTGGTGACGTCCATTAAGTAATGAACCATATTCTTGTGGCCAAATACAGCAGCATGGTGGAGAGGTAGAAATTCATTATCCTCAATATTGGGCAGACGTTGGACCTTGGCCACTAACAACTTGGCTACCTCAAGGTTGTTAGCTGATGCTGCTAAATGAAGACACGTCTCACCTTCGTGATTCCTTTGATGAGTCAAATCCACATGTGATGAGGACACAAACTCCAATAGACTCTTAACAAAATGATTTCTCTTCTCAGAACTAACTGCTACCATCAGTATTGTATCCCCCTCTCCAGTGATGTCCGCACTCACTGCATCTTCGTGTTGTTCCAAGAATTCTTTGGCTTTCTCCCACTCACCTTTCAGTGTAAATCTATGCAGTGGCCGGTAAAACCCTACATCTTTTTCTTCGCCTTCTTTGTTTTTCACTTTCATTCAAATTAAACAAACATAAATATATTTATAAAGTGGGTACGTGTATAATAAATAAATAAAGCATTTTCATAAACTAAAAGGAAATAAATAAAAAATTATTTATATATGTGGTGCAAGAGAGTGAGCTTACTCGTTTCACTTCTTTTATTGGGATCAAAGACTTTTTCTAACTTAGTCCACATATCATGGGCAGTTGTGTCGTCGCGCAAGTCCACCACCACACATGAAAGAACATCTTTTTGATCGATCGTCCCCATTATCCAGCCTTGCACTAGCCAGTCTGTTCTTCTCCATGCCTCACGCCTATAATTGTTCTCCCCTGTCCCCTCTGGTATTGGAACTGTGCCATCGATGAAACCAAGCAAACCTTGTCTCTTAATAAGACGAAGCATCAATTCTGACCACATACGGTAGTTTTCTCTAGAGAGCTTGAAGGGAACATAGTCCCCCACGTTAACTTCTACTGGGTATCGGTATTCTACACAATATTAATTGAAGCACATCAGTTTTGAACTGTCATGTTATCAAAATGAATTAAATAGTCTATATGTATTTACCCATTTACACATTAATAAGGGAAATATTTTTTTGGTTAATTAACTAGATTATCAATCAAACACACCCACTGAAAATTCTTTATTTTAATGAACTGTATGTGTGATGACCCGAGTAACCTTACCAATTAGAGTTTCAGAATTGAACAGTCCCTCTAACTTTGTCCACATATCACTGGCAGTTTCCAAATTCAAAACACTTGCAAGGAAGCTTTCATTGATTGCCCTTATTATCCAACTTTGCAACAACCCATCTGTTCTTTTCCACGCCAAGGAATCTATTCTGGGGATATTTGGTGTCAAAATGAAACCGAGCAAGCCTTGATTCTCAATAAGATGAAGCATCAGCCTTTTCCAATCAGGATAGTTGCTACCGGAAAGCTTGAAGGGAACAAAGTCACCCACGTTCACCTCTATTGGGTATGGGTACACTGCAATTTTAAATTAAAAAGATGAAGTGTCTAAGAAATATTATATTAAGTTGTTGATGGAATTAAGGTTGGAATATTATGTCGATTAATACGTACCCTTATTAGTTTCATGCATGATAATTAACCTCTGCCATATATCTTTTGATGTTTCAAGCAGTACCAACTCTCGCCGGATGTCTTCATTGATCGTTTCCTTGATCCATCTCTCCAACTTCTTGTCTGAGTTTCTCCATTCATCGTTGCTGCTGTTGTCGTCAGAAAGTGTTCGTTTTGAAGCCTCACCATTGATGAAACCAAGCATGCCCTGACTCTCAATAAAATGAAGCATCAGCGTTTTCCAACTAGAGTAGTTATCGGTACTACTAGAGAGCTTGATGGGAACAATGTCCGTGACATTGATATCTATTAGGTACTCTGCAAATTAAAAAGAGAGGAAGAGCTTGAGAACTAATGTAACCAATTAATCATGGAAGCTAGCTAGCTAAGTTAAAGTACGCACTAATATAGTCTATACATATATGGAAATTAATTTAAATTCAAACATACAAATAATTAAGTAATGACCTTACCCATTTTTCTTTCACCCAGGATAACCAACTGTGACCACATATCTTTAGCAGTTTTCCAGCACTCAACATTTGGAAGAACATCTTCATTGATGGTTTCCTTTATCCAACTTTGCAAGAGCTCGTCGGATCTTTTCCAATCCTGATAATCCTGGTTCTCTATCTCCTTCGTGCCAAGGTAGAAGCTATCTTCTTCATCGTCGTCGTCGTCTGGTACTGTGATCGTTTCAGGTGGTGCTGAAACCTCACCACTTATGAAACCAAACATGCCTTGATTCTCAATAAGACCAAGCATCAATGACTTCCATCTAAAATAGTTATCTAATTTAGAGAGCTGGATTTGAACAAAATCCCTCACGTTGATCTCTGCTGGGTGTGGGTACTCTGCAAAAATAGGATAAGTTGGAGAAAAATTAATCAATTAATGATGGATATGCTAGGTTGAAGTACTCATACTTATTTGTAAATTAATTAACTATATATGTATGTAATCATTCACATAATTAATTAAGTCACCACCATACATACCTATTTTTGTTTCATGCAGGGTAATTAACTTTGACCACATATCTTGAGCAGTTTTCAAGCACACCACATGCGGAAGAACGTCTTCACTAATCGTCTCTCTTATCCATCTTTGTAACAATTCATCCGATCTTTTCCAGTCCTCGTAATCCTGGTCCTCGATCTCCTTTGTGCCCTTGGGAGAGATAACATCATCGTCATTTGGTATTGTGATCTTTTCCGGTGGTGCCACAACTTCACCATTGATGAAACCAACCAAACCTTGCCGCTTAAAAAAAAGAAGCATCTTCTTTCTCCACACAAAGTAGTTTTGTTTAGAGAGAATGACACCAACATAATTCCTCACCTTAACCTTTTCTGGATATGGGTACTTACTCACAGAAGATGATATTTCAGAGTTTGAGGAAGAAGCCATATATATTAATATTGGAAGGCAACGACGGGGAGTATGTGAAAGTTTAAGAACCGGATCTCTTGGGTGTACTAGAGCTTGAATGCAGAGTTTCTCCCTCTCTAAACTGCTATATATATAAATATATAAAATGGGTAATTTTCACAAGTGAAGCATACTTGGGGCAGGATGAAACTATTTTAGGGGTTCAAAGTACACAGAAAGTATGCTTTTATATTTTCTTTACTTCTATTTTTGCCATGTGCGAACGATATTTCAATATTTTTTATTGTTAGTTCAGGATCGATGCTTATCGAAAAGAAATAAGAAAAAAATATATATTAGTAGGGCTATACATTAAGATTTTTATTCTTACATATTCATGACAAAATTTTATTATAGGTTCGCTTTAGCTTATGGCACCAGGTAAAATTTGTTGTTTTAAATAAAGAATACCAGGTATATTAGCATCTTTATTTGATTTGATGAAGTTGGGGTCCCTTCTTTAGTTCAGAAATTTAAGTATATATATCAAATTGTTAAATATTTTAAAATTTTGTAAAAGAATATTAAAAATATGTATATGTATAAAAAAATTTTAAAAAAAAATGTGATGATTGTCTGGCTAAAGATTTCATGAAGAGTATTGTATTTCTCCAAAATTACTCATGGTTGAAAACTTCACGTAATTCTAACCAAAAAAAAAAATGTGCAAGGCAAAATGCATGGACTTTAGACTTTATGTCATCATTGGAATTTGATTTCCAAGCTAGCATTATTTTTATTTTTTATTTTTAATTTGAGATGAGTTTATAGTAATAATTAAAATATTACTCGGTATAATCACCGGCGGATCCAGAGGTCAAGCCCACCCCCCCCCCCCAAAAAAAAAAAAAAGGTTCTTGAGGCTATGAATTGGTGGAACTGGTCAAACATGTTTGTTGTTGTGTTTATGTGTGTGTGAACGTGAGTGTTCTTCTTTACCACTGGGACCAATTATTTATGGAAGGGGAAGGGAATTATCAAGTAATACAGGGATACAGCAATAATTGTACTCATTAATCAGTGCCGTTCCTTATACAAAGATGATCAAAAAAGTTTTAAAAGCCTGTGTGAACAAAAAAAAAGGTTAGGGAAATGTTGAGGATCATGTCGAGACCCTTCCTCAAGTAGAGTCGATTTCGAAATCTGAATAAACAGACAAATTAGAGACAAGAATTAATAAGTTGGTCCTAAAGGGAATCTTTCTGTTTGGAAAGTTCGTAAAACCAAACTACATGAGTTGAAAGTGAGCTGTCATGAACTTCAAAGCATGCACATTTATGGTTTGTACAACTGTCATGTTTAATAAGTAACTTTTTGACTTTTTATTTTCCTGACAAAACATGATACAATTTTTTGACTTGGTGGAAAAGGACGAGGAGGAGAATTGACAAAAGTTATCTATCTATTTGGTTAGAGAAAAGTACAAGTAACATCCATTTGTTTTCTCATTAATTTGAATAATTTGTATCCATATTCTTTTAGAAATATAATTTTTATCAATGCTGAGATGGACGGCTGTGATTGTCTGGGAACTTGAATGAGGTGGTGGTCCCAGGGTTATCAATAATTTTTTTTGAATAAGGTTATTATAAACATTTCACTTAATTTAGAACATGATATCAACATAAATTATAGTCACCTGGACAAAGATATCTATCCAGAAAATATTAATGATGCACGCTACAAAAATTTATATAGCTCTCAACTTTATCACATTCTGTGGACAATATTGATTGAAAGGGGGCTTATGATATTTTTATAAAGGAGGTTGAGGTCGTGTCCATTGAATGGGACGTATAAAATAACTTACTAAAAATTAATAAGTAAGTATAAATATTTTACAACAACTAAATACCAAAAAATAAAAAAATATTTTTGAAAAAATATTTCACATCCAAACAAACCAATAGAAAAAAGAATGTACAATATACAAGGGGCGTTCAGGATGACAAGGGGCTTTTCCATGCAAAGTAGCTTTGTTTTGAGAGAATGACAATAACAAAATGCCTCACCTTAATCTCTTCTAGATATGGGTACTTCTTTAAAGAAGATGATATTTTAGAATTTGAAGAAGAAGCCATATTAATATTTGAAGGGAGTATGTGAAAGTTACACACGTTGAGTTAGGGGTACTAGATCTTGAATGTAGAGTTTCTCCCTCTAAAATATTGTGTGTGTGTGTGTGTGTGTGTGTGTGTGTGTGTGTGTATATATTATATAGAGTGTATCTTGTTGGGTTTTAATCAAATAATTTATATGTGTAAACTCTAATTAATTTGTGTTAAACATTAATCACAAATTATCATAAATTCCTAAATCTTAGAACTTCAATTAATTTCACATCCTTATAATACATAAATAAATATAGTTACATATACATACCTCGATTCATGATATCAAACCTTATTGAGATTAAATCCAATGTCCAGATCCTTTAAACACGATCCAATCTACAACTCTGATCAACAGGCAAAGGTGGAAATTGGTTTTTCTCTCTTGGCCTTTTACACACAATAACCTTTTACGTGTTGTCTCAATAATCATACATAATTGATGAAGCATATGCACTTTTATAAAAGTAGAGAGAGAACCAGTTTTCCTTTTAGTAACATACTACTTTCCATCAAAGTAATGAATTAGAAGGAAAACACTTCTCCAATAAGTAATTACCAAAAAGGTAATTATAAGTTGACCAAGAATAATTAATTGATATCTATTTACTTAGCCACCAAGTAATATGTCACATGTCCAAATTATGTGAGCCACAATTAAATAAATAATCTTACATTCTCCCACTTGGCACATATGATAACTTCTGTAGTGGTTTAGTAAAATAGTCATTAGTGTGCACCATAAATCAAATTAAGATATTAATATGGTCATCATAAATACCATGGTAAACAAATTACCAATGTGAGTCATGGAGGTTATATGTCTTTAAATGACACAGTCCCTTCCATGTACCACAACACTAGTAACCCATTTAACATAGTCTATAAGTGAGAAGAAATAATAAAGGTCTAGCAATAATGTTTTTTCTAAGACTATTCCTGTTTTCATCATTTAAAGCAATACATGCATGTATATACATAAATTAATAGGAAATATCAGAAATACATTTTAATGAGCTCAAAATGTCAAATATATATAAGTATTGTTAAGCAATTCATAACAAAAATAATAGTTAACTTTGATTACATTTAAGGCCCATTCTTTCAACATGCCCTATGAATGTCTTGGGCGGTAATCTTTTTGTTAATGGATCTGCAACCATAAGTTGTGTGCTTATATTTTCAAAAGACACTCGTTGTTTCTGAACTTCTTCTTTAACGGTAAGATATTTCAGCTCCATATGCTTAACGCCATTGGAATACTTATCGTTTTTAGTAAAGAAGACAGCTGCGGTATTATCACAATAAATTTTCAGCGGTCTGGAAATTGAATCCATAACACCAAATCCTAAAATAAAGTTCCGCAACCACAAACCATAATTTGTAGCCTCAAAGCATGCTACAAACTCAGCCTCCATAAGAGATGAAGCAATAATAGACTGTTTTGCGCTTTTTCATGATATTGCCCCTCCAACTAAAATGAACAAATAACCAAAAGTGGATCTTCTACTATCCACACATTCAGCAAAATCTGAGTCTGAGTAACCAATAACCTCTAAGTCACCATTCCTTCTAAATGTGAGCATATAATTCTTTGTTCCTTGTAAGTATCTCATGACTTTCTTTGCACCTTTCCCATGATGCATTCTTGGATTGTTTTGGTATCTGCCTAGCATTCCAACTGCAAAACCAATATCTGGACGAGTGCAAACCTGTGCATATATCAAACTTCCCACAATAGATGCATAAGGAATATTTTGCATTTCTTTATGTTCTAATTCATTCTTTGGGCATTGCATCAAACTAAATTTATCTCCTTTCTGTATTGGAATAATACTAGATGAAAAATGTTCCATACCAAATCTCTCTGGAATTCTCTCAATATATGTTTTCTGAGACAATCCTAACAATCCACGTGACCTATCACGGAATATTTCTATTCCTATCACGTAGGATGCCTCACCCATATCTTTCATCTCAAAATTCTTAAAGAGATAATTTTTAGTTTCATACAATAAACCAAGATTACTACTAGCAAGCAAAATATCATTAACATATAGAATCAGAAATATAAACTTACTCCCACTAACCTTCTGGTATATACACCGATCAATAGTATTTTCATTAAAACCAAAAGAAGTAATAATATTATTAAACTTAATATACCATTGACGGGAAGCTTGTTTAAGTCCATATATTGACTTCTTAAGTTTACAGACCATGTGTTCTTTACCCTCTAATCTGAAGCCTTCAGGTTGATCCATATAGACTTCTTCTTCTAAACTCCCATTTAGGAAAGCTGTTTTCACATCCATTTGATGCACCTCTAAATCATAATGAGCTACAAACGCCATGATAATTCTCAAGGAATCCTTCTTAGATACAGGAGAGAAGGTTTCTTTATAATCAATGCCTCCTATCTGAGTGAAGCCCTTGGCTACAAGTCTGGCTTTATATCGTTTAATATGGCCATTAGAGTAGCGTTTGGTCTTAAAGACCCATTTACACCCGACTTGTTTAAATCCTTCAGGCAATTCAACGAGTTCTCAAACTTTATTTTGTTCCATTGACTTCAACTCCTCATTCATGGCATTAATCCAATTAATAGAATTATTACTATTAATGACTTGTGAATACGTAACCGGATCCTTACATATCCCTATATCAAAATCAGATTCATGTAAATATACCACATAATTATCCGGAATAGCAGGTCTCTTTTCTCTTTGAGACTGTTTTAATGTTATTCCTTGTGGTTCTTCTATAACTTCATTGGTGATAGTTTCATTATGGAGTTGTTGATCATTTAATTGTTCTTCGTTGTTATGCAGTTTAACAACTGGAGAAACAAGTATTTCTTTAGAAGTTGTGGGTAAAGGGATTTGTACCCTAACTTCTTGAATGATCACATTCTCATTTCTATCACTCCCACTTATTTCACCATCCTCAATGAATTTGGCATTACCGGTTTTAACAATTCTTGTACTATGTGTAGGACAGTAAAACCTATACCCTTTGGATTTTTCTGTTCTAAAATCTAATTTCTTTTCACGTGGATTATA